GCAAAAAATAGAACAATTGGCCGGGCATGGTGGCCTATGCGTGTGCGTGTAGTCCCAGCTACTCGGGAGGCTGAGGCAGGAGGATCGGTTGAGCCCAGGAGTCTGAGGTTGCAGTGAGCTGTGATCATGCCACTGTACTCTAGCCTGAGGGACAGAGTGAGACCCTGTCTGGAAAAAAGATATGTTAGTATTTACAAAGAGTTTACAGTTACATAGTTGCCATTTTTTTTTTCTTAAAGGCAAGACTTTACCAAGAAATTTCAGCTACATAACTAATATGCCAAAGAAAAGACTACAAGGAATACATCAAAAAGTTACTAGTGGCTACCTCTAAGTGCTGGGATTATGAGTGACTTACTTCCTTTCTTGTTCATATGTATTTTTTTAAAAAATAACTTTATTGGCCGGGCGTGGTGGCTCACACGTGTAATCCTAGCACTTTGGGAGGCCGAGGCGGGCGGTTTGCTCAAGGTCAGGAGTTCGAAACCAGCCTGAGCGAGACCCCGTCTCTACCAAAAATAGAAAGAAATTAATTGACCAACTAAAAATATATATACAAAAAATTAGCCGGGCATGGTGGCGCATGCCTGTAGTCCCAGCTACTCGGGAGGCTGAGGCAGGAGAATAGCTGAGCCCCGGAGATTGAGGTTGCTGTGAGCCAGGCTGACGCCACGGCACTCACTCTAGCCTGGGCAACAAAGTGAGACCCTGTCTCAAAAAAATAAATAAAAATAAATAAATAAATAAAAAATAACTTTATTGGGAGATAATTAATAATCCATAAAGTTCAACGGTCTTTAGTATATTCACAGAGTTGTGCATCTTACTTCACTAATTCCAGAATATTGTCATCTGCCCCCCAAAAAATCCCATATCCATTAACAGTCACTATCCATTCCGTCCTCTCCTCAGCCCCTGGTAACTATTCACCTCCTGTCTGCCTTAATGTGTTTGCTTATTCTGAATGCTTCACGCAAATAGAATCAGACAGCGGTCTGTGTCTGGCTCCTTTCAGTGTTTGCGTCATGTCCCCAAGGTGTATGAAGTTGTAGCATGCATCAGGACTTGACTCCTTTACGTTGCGGGGCAGACAGGGGATAAAGCCAGTTCACTGTTAGTGGCAGAACCAGGGCGGGAAGCACATGGATGCTCACTGCAAATGCTTTCATCATTGTCTATGTTTCCAACTCTTCATAATAAAGTACTGGGAAGAGGGCAGTTGGGTCAGAGGACGCCATAAGACCAGAAACACACCGGGAAGTACAGATAGAACCAAATGCTTTAACTCCCTGTGAAGACAGTGCTGTGGAAGGACTTGGACGTGGCAAGGTATGGACTGGCTGAGACCTCTACGTCAGATCCTCAGCCAAGCCCCTACTACACGCCTGAGGCCGAGTCATGCCACACAGCAGGAGAGGGCCTCACATTCCCGAGTTGACAAATCATACTCTTGTTTTACTTTTAGGCAGAGAGCCGAAAGATGAAAGTGGTGTTTCTCCTCGCTTTCCTTTTGATCACGGCTCAGTGTGTGCCAGTAAGTAAACTCTGAAAGTCTGTGTCTTCAAATTCGCTTTGGTTCACACATTGTGAACTTTCAGTTATAGCAGATTCTCAGAATAAAACAAAAAGCAAAACAAAGCAAAACAAAAAATCCCAGCCCATCATGAGAGCAACAGCCACGAGTTCCTTTGGACCTGAAAGCAGCTCTTCTACCTGTTTTAAAAGACCCTGTTAGGAAAACAGGAGAGTTGAGTCAGGAGCAGTGGGAGGCTGGCCTGGGAGCACAGCGGCGACCCTCGGGCGTGGCTGCACTCCGGAATCAGCTCAGCGCGACCCCGGCTCACACTGCTCAAAGGGGAGCGTGAGGCCCACTGAGGATGATTTGAGATGACACGACCTGGTGTGAAAAAGGATGAGGGACTGAGGCTAACAGGCAAGATCCCTTCGTTCTGTAAATGAAATTCGCTTGAGTATCTGCAAAGAGACCAGAAATCGTGCTGGCTGCCGGGATTACATCCGTGAAACATAAATCGTCCTTCAAGGAATGCACAGTCCACATTTCCGATTTCATTACTATTATCGCCATTACTGTAAATGTCCTCAGTCTCCACACTCTGCCTCTCAATTTCCACAGGTGCACAACTCGGAGTACGGACTCCTTCGACGCTGCTTGAACTGGAAGGTAACTGCATCCTCCTACCTGTCTCGTGACCTAAATTAGAGATGTTTGCTGTCCACTATAAATATGTGATTTAGGGAGAAAATACTTTTGACACTTTGAAAAAGTGGTTATTTTCAGGGACGTAAGGTACAGATCGACACAAGCCCTGAGTCGCCTCTTGTCTAAGCGAGTGTCCTGCTCCACACACAATCTGTTTAGCGACTCGTTTTTGCAAATGAGAAGGTAACATAAGTCATAGAATTTCATTTATAAATTTAGCAAACTCTGATTTACATAGAATTAACCAGAATCCAGAAAAACCACTATTTTGTTTTTGCAATTCATTGTAATGTCTTTACTTTCCAGAGGGTCCATCAAAGGACGACCTCATAGAGACTACGAACGCCTCCCAGGGGACACTTGTTTCATGTGTCCACTATGATAGTCACAGTTCCTCATAAAGAGTCACGTGTCATAAATTCCTTTTGGATGACTTACCCTCAATTGACATGTTTCTACCGTTTTTTCTTCTTTTACCAAGCGAGCTCAGAGAGAAGTTTGTATTTATTCCCGGTAACTGTCTGTATTCTAGATTTTGATATGTGGATTGTGGTCTCTTGGCATATCGCCTGCTTCCTGCACATTCCCGAAGGTGCTCGAGCCTCTTGGGCAGCTCTGTTTCTGCTCCCAGAGAGCTGCCCAAGCACACGGCCCTGCCGCCCACCCAGGGCCCAAGCCCCCGTCACCTTCGCAGTCTGGACAGAAGGGTGGAGACAAATGACGATGCTCCGGGTCCCCTGGTCATTTGTTCACTAGCGTTAATATCTGGAAACCTTTTGTGCCCTTTTACTCGTCTCAGTTAACTCCTGACTCCCTTCTCTTCCACCCGATTGTCCGATTTCCATTACAAGAACCTCAAGCTTCTTGAGTAATGACAGTCCTTAAAGCCAGTTTTGTAACGGCTCTTTAAAAATGTCTTCTTGTATTCTTCAGAATATTTAAAACTTTATGTGAACGGAAACAAAATTTTCTGACAATTAAATATCACGAAATTGCTTTTTCCCCTTTTCTTACAGCAAATTCAAAAGTTCCATGAGCTCCTGCATAACTGTGTAAGTCTTTGTTCTCTGTTTTTCGGTTGTTTCCAAGACTTGGAAGGGGAGGGGAGGGTTCAGGAAAGCAAAGGGAAAGATGAGGAAGAGGAAACATGAAACAATGAGAGTTTCGTCGTCATAATACTGGCCACTTTTCCAATGTCTTCTTTCTCATAAAACTCTGAATCATTATTTATGAATTAAAAATGTTCCCCATCCTAAGAAAATTGCGAAATAACGGAAGAACTAAAACCTATGATCTGTCTGAAAAGCATTATAATTTCTTGAAAATGTTGGAGACAGTTATTAACCATTAAGTCCTCTCAAACTTCAATGACAGATTTCCTACTAACCATTTCTGAGAAAAAAATTATTTTAAAAAGAAACAGTCATTTAAATCCACATAACTTAATTTTTAAAATACATCTAAAACTGTTTTTTTCTGGCTTTCAGATATTTGACTAAATGTGCGGTTGTGTATGTTTCCCTTGCTGGGGGTGCATTTCAAGTGCCTCCTGAAATAGTGCATTAATATCTTTCACCATTTGGCGGAAATTATTAGCTATTATCTCATCAAATATTACTTCTTCCCTATTCTCTTTGTACTTTCCATATGGTTTTCATGCTCTTTTCGATCCTTTTGTCCTTCTCTGCTGCAGTCTGAATATTCTTTTTTCTGATGTCTTCCAGCTCGTTAATTTTGTCTTCAGTTGTGCTTAATCTGATGCTAAACCCATCTACTGAATTCTTACTTTCAGCTATTATATTTTTCAGTCCTAAATGTCCATTGGATGCCAAAAGTTGCCATCTTATCTTTTAATCTCTTGACCCCTTTTATGACGGTTATTTCAAAGCCAATGTCTAATAACTCTACTTTTTGGATCTCCTGGGGGTCTCCTTCTGCTGTCTACCTTTTTTTTTTTTTTGGTTTTCAGTTGAATCTTGCCCCTGCCTTCCCCTTTTGGATTGTTTTGGGGAGGGGGCCTGGTTGCTTTTGATCGAATAGGAAACACTGTTAATGAAAATGGTAGAGACAACTTGAGGTTCCGGACGCAGTTATCTTCCTCAAAAAGTGCTGTGCTGTGGACGATGGGCACGGCACCCACAGGCCACCTCGCTCTGGTCAGCGGCCGAGAGAATTGGCACGAGTCCCTCTGGTTCCCCTCACTCCTGGGGGAGGCCGTTGGGATTCCATCCAAAATACTTACCGGGTCCACTCGTCTCTGGCAGCTCTGGAGTTTGAACTTTATTCCCCACACCCGTGAGTCTGTCACAGGCTCTACTCGGCAGGCCTCCCGGTCAGCTGTGGGCGCCGCCGGCCGGCTGCCGTGTGGGGAAGGGCGGCCGAGGCCGTCCTAGGCTCCTGGCTCCACTGCAGTCTCCAGTCTCCAAAGCCCCGTCTCAGAATCCGTCCACCTTCAAACGGATGCTGTTTTCAAAAATTCTGTATCCAACTCTTCTCGTCGTTCTCCCCAGAAGGACTGGCTGAACCAACAAGGTTGCAAACAGAATATTCAATTTTCTCTTTGAAGAAATAAAACATTTTAAATTTCACTGATTTCCTCTCACACACATACAGAGAAGTAGAGGAAGGTGGTTCTAAGGAAATGAAACTAAGAAGATACGGTATTGGCTGCAAATCCTTCTCTCTGTACCTATATAACTTAAAATATGATTTCTGTACAAATAACAGCGATAGCATTCTTACATGCCAAGTATTTATACATGCATTTTTGTCTTATCAGCGGAAATCAAAACACTCGACAGGCCCACACGTGCCAGTGATTCCAGCAATGGAGGATGACTCTGTTTTGAGTCCGGATCCATCTGAGCCCAGTTTCCTCGATGCACAGGAAGAGTCGTGATCAATGCCGCTGTCCGTCTTCCTCCAGGCCTCGTCTGACACCTCAGCTGGCGATCAAAGACACTCCGCTGCTCCTTGTAACACATTGTACCCTTTTCCATATCCTGAACAGAGTGCAATGCTTCAATAAAAAGTTTATATCACTAATATTATCTCCAGTGGAATGTCTTTTTCCATCATGATCAGCATTTTAAAGAGGGATCAGGCAAAGGAGCGAAGTGATGAGGAAATAGGGTGTTCAGCCGTTTGTTTCTGGGCAGTCCTATTCCTAAGAACCTGGGGCTCTACACGAGGGAGAACAGGGTCGGGTGGGTTTGCGGGGGTGACCTGCAATCTCTGCTGAGCTTGGGGACGAAGTGGATGACAGAAGGATCCTGTCTCCAGCCTGCATCCAAGGCCTTGGAGAGACTACTTAGGATGTTTCTAATGAGGAGAGAGGGTGTTCTGACCCTACTAACTAGGACAGAAATACACGAAGCCGTGGGGAAATATGCTTAAAATTTTCTTTTGCCTTATTTTGGAGGCAAAGTGACAAGTGCCTCCCTGACCTGTCTATGGAGATGTACAAAGCAAACAGAGTGAGATTTTACAGACGTTACTCCTTCCGTCTCTACAAATGCTTCAGGAAACCTCAAATACTCTGAGCTGGTCCGGTGACAGTTCTCCCACGGCAAGTGCCATCTCAGGCTGGCAGCAGGGGTGGAACACGGGCACGGGGCAGCGTTCACGGGCACTGTGTGACACACAGCCATCTTCTTCCTCAGGATGGTGACACTTTCCAAAGCCTGTCCCTTAGCGGACTGCTCAAACTATTTCTGAACCCAGAAGGTACCCCCAGCCCAGGCCATCTTGCCTTTAAGTAAATTCACTTCTTTAAAGGAAATCATTAGTAAGAATTCCAATGCCGAATTCAGGAAAATCCAAACTCTTCTCTAACCTCTTCCACGTCTGCAGTTGCTCCAGGTAGCGCCCTCCAACCTTAGGGAACGCTGATCATTGGTTTAAAATGAGAAGATTGCTTTTAACATTCGGTAACGTTAATTCAGTAATGTCCCCCTAGTAAAAGAACTCCCCTCACTGTTCCTACTTGCCTCGCCTTTTATTAAGATACTTTTCTCAAAATCTGAAAAAAGGGAACCAGTGACCAGGGATTAAGTGAACATAATATCTACTTTTATTACGAAACATTAAATTTTTGACACATTGCTTCATTTGCTTTCTTAAAAATCTATTATCTGACTTAAACCTATTCAGCAAAATGCCAATAAATTATATAAATCATAGTTTGGGTGTTTAAAAACTAGGAACATAATATGTTTTATGATAATCGACAATACTACATCTGAGTTGCATAAGCTGTTAACTTATAATCTGTTTTAGATGTTTAGCTCAAAGTAAAAAGAAAACCAACCCTGTCAGCACGCTGCTGAAAAGCTTCTAGAGCCGCCCTCCCCGGCGCCGCGCTGTGTGCCAGCACCTCGGCTTCTCCACGGAGGCGGGACGTCGCCACGCAGGTGTCAAGGCACTCATCCCTCACTGTCCCCTCGCGCACCCTCGGAGTCACACTGGATGGAGGGCTGACGATAGGCATCAACCCTCAGCCCAGGCTACCTTGCTTTTGCTTTTAGGTAAACTCATTTCTTTAACAGAAAATCATCAGCTAAGAGCTCGAATGTGGACTTAGGAGCGATGACTCCAATTCAATACACATTCAATCAAATGTGTCAGTACTTAAAGTCACAAAATTCTGAGATGTAAATAATCAATGAACTAAGGTAAACAGCACGGCCACCACGTGCCTTAAAATGGCATGTTTTTTGATGTCTGAAGCTCTTTGCAAATTACATTTTGGGACAGTTTAGATGAATTTGAATAAAACATATGTTGTCTGCATATAGTTCCGCAAGGGTTTTCAGCGTGGGTGGCAACATTTAAAAAATACAGCAATGGTCTTAATTCACCGTTTCCACTTGGTTTCTAAATCTTTATTTTCTGTGGAGGCAAACCAAAGTCCTGTCTTAAGATTCCATCCTCAAGGTTACAATATAATCTCTATCATTCCTAGAGATTTTAAAGCTAGATACTATCCTGGTCCTTGTCGGCATCTTCATTTTCATCTTCCTCATCTTGGTCTCCAGATTCAAGTTCATCCTCTTCTACAATCTAGATAAAAAAAAATACTATTTAATATTATGAAGATTTGTTCACGTCACATTCAACACAATATGATATATACTCTGTTGATAAATTCTGTACTCTAGTAATTATAGTAGAAAAACAGCCATCGGATTTCTTTGATTTAATGCTCAAGGCTCCCTATCCTTTTCTTTTCTTTCTGTTTTTTGAGACACAGTCTCGCTTTGTTGCCCGGGCTAGAGTGAGTGCCGTGGCGTCAGCCTAGCTCACAGCAACCTCAAACTCCTGGGCTCAAGCAATCCTGCTGCCTCAGCCTCCTGAGTAGCTAGGACTACAGGCATGTGCCACCAAGCCCGGCTAATTTTTTTTGTGTATATATATACATATATATATATATGTTAATTGGCCATTTAATTTCTTTCTATTTATAGTAGACGGGGTCTCGCTCTTGCTCAGGCTGGTTTCGAACCCCTGACCTCGACAATCCGCCCGAACGGCCTCCCAGAGAGCTAGGATTACAGGCGTGAGCCACCGTGCCCGGCCCCTAACCTTTTCAATAGGAATGAGATGTACCAGTTAACTTTGCTGATGAAATGGCTATACCTCTCGACACATACGTCTGAACCAAATATGGTAGAAAATAATGGCATACTTGGGTGATGACAGTCTTGCTATCAAAAGAGCAATCGAATCAATTCACTCTATAGGTCAAGATCCAACAGATGACAGTCTACAAGTGCTAGAAACTGAACTTCATCTGTGTCTTAAGTCAATTCACTCAACACAGTGAAGCAATGCAGATGATACCATATGCATGAACCACATGTCTATGCTATAATATAGTACAATTCTTTCTGGTCTAAATTAAAATTCTAAAGATTCTAAAGAAAATACAAGTCATATTTGGAAACATTTTAATCTTACTGGATAACCAAGATCCTTGAGTTTTTCTCTTCAATGAAATATTTTCTGATCTTGTTCAGCCAAAACACTAAGAGATCATCTTGTTCTTTTTTGGAATCCGTAATTTCCAACTCTAGCTTGTCCTTCTCATTTTGTAAAATGGCAACGGTACTGTTACATGAATCCAGCTGTTCTTTAATGGCAGTTCTTTCCTCAGACAGAGCTTTAATTTCATTCTAGGAAAAGAAAAGCAAAAGTTAATAATCTAAATTAGTACTCACTTTCCTGGAGTTTTTAAACAATAGTTGTTTCTATGATAGATCACTATACTTGTTCAATCTACAGAGTTTGGGGGTGAAGGTTGAGGGTATACCCAGTAACATGAGGATGTGTCAGACTAGTCATCCAAGATGGTTATTGTGAAAACTAGAGTTTAACATACAAAATATAGTTTTTAGTTAGCTGTTCTCAAAAATCCTTAAGAGATTAAACAAAACAATAGTATTTCATATAATCAAATGAGTAAATGAAGCCGCGGAGCCGGCTCACGCATGTAATCCTAGCACTCTGGAGACCGAGGCGGCGGAGGTCAGGAGACCGAGGCGGGCCTCAAGTTCAGGAGTTCGAAACCAGCCTGAGCAAGAGTGAGACCCCATCTCTAATAAAAATAGAAAGAAATTAGCTGTACAACTAAAACTATATAGGAAAAATTAGCCGGGGATGGTGGCGCATGCCTGTAGTCCCAGCTACTGGGGAGGCTGAGGCAGGAGGATCGCTTGACCGGGAGTATGAGGTTGCTGTGAGCTAGGCTGACGCCATGGCACTCTGCCTGGGAACAAAGTGAGACTCTGTCCACATAAAAACAAAAAAACAAAAACAAAAAAAAAGAGTAAACAGAGACACAAACATTTTACAGCAGAAGACTGGTTAGCATCAGATTAGAAGTCAAGTTAAAAAAAAGTTTATCAGCTGAGTGCAGTGGTTCATGCCTATAATCCTAGCACTTTCAGAGGCTGAGGCAGGAGGATCCATGACCAGGAGTTTGAACACACTAGAGCAAGAGTGAGACCATCACCTACAACATAGAAAGAAATTAGACCGGCACTAAAATATAAGAAACAACATTAGGCACGATAGGTCAACATGCTAGTTAACAGCTACTCGGGAGGCTGAGGCAGAGGATCGCTTGAGCCAGGAGTTGGAGGGATGCTGTGAGCTAGGGCTGATGCCACCGGCACTCTAGCCCGGACAACAGAGTGAGACTCTGACTCAAAAAAAAAAAAAAAAATGCTGAGAATCAGAGGAGGCAGTGATGTCGAGTGCTAGCTTGTGTCCGGCACAAAGACGACTGGAGGTCTCAGCTCAAAGGCAGAGAGAAACGAATTCTCTTTACTCAGGCTCTTATTACATTCAGCCTTCAGCAGGGAGGAGAGGCCCACTCACCCTGGAGGGCAATCTCTTTACTCAGTCTACGGACCTTATATTAATCTCCTCCAGAAAGACCCTCACAGACCACTGTAAATACTGTCTAACCAAATATGGGAACCCTGTGACTCGGCAAGTTGACAGGTAAAATTAATCGTTACAGGTGTGAACATTTTTTTTTTTTTTTTGAGACAGCGTCTCATTTTGTGGCCTGGCTAGAGTGCGTGGCATCAGCTCGCTCACAGCAACCTAAAGTCCTGGGGTCAGGCAACACTCCTGCCTCAGCCTCCCAAGTAGCTGGACTACAGGCATGTGCCACCATGCCGGGCTATTTCTTCTATATATTATTTTTTTAGTTGTCCAGCTAAGTTCTTTCTATTTTTTAGGTAGAGACAGGGTCCTCACTTTTTTCAGGCTGGTCTCAAACTCCTAAGCTCAACGATCCACCTGCCTCCAGCCTCCCAGAGTGTTAGGATTACAGGCATGAGCACTGTGCTAGCCAAGGTGTCAACGTTTTAATGGCTTGATACATATTGCCAGATTGATTTTCTGACAGGCACACGAATTTTACCATAAACTCATAGCATTGAGTGGGATCATCTCTAATTTCTGCTGAAGGTGAATGATAGTGCTTCTGTGGTACTTTACATGCATTTCTTTCATTAGTATCCCAAACTGTCTTCCTACCTCCTTTTATTCCATAAACTAAGGAAATTTAGGTCCAGCGAACTTGCTTAGTATGTGATCTAGTAATAGCACAGCCAGGGCCTGGGACCCGTGGTTCCTGTTTCTGTCCAGGGTTCTTTCCAGTTTTACCTGCAACTGTGCCCATCTGTTTGGATGTCTATAAGCAGTCGTACGGCTCTCTTGCCTCTTACTCCTGTGACTGTTATTGCATTATATACAACCCACATCAGTAGACTGAGGCAAGGCTCCTCCTTGCTGGCTTGAAGAAGCAGCAGCTATGTTAAGACTCACAATGGAAAGAGCTGTGGTGCTGTAGGATCTGCAGACAGCCTCTAAGAAATGGCTACAAAAGGCCGGGCTTCCAACATACAGCCACAAGGAAAATCCTCAAACAAACTCTATCAGCTTGGAAGCAGATTTTTCCTTAGTTGAGCCTCCAGATGATGACTGTAGTCTAGCCCAATACCTGGAATATTAGCAATCATAGACGCTGGCGTATGTTGGCTCACGCCTGTATCCTAGCAACTCTGGAAGGGGCAAGGCAGGAGGATCGCTCTGAGCTCAGATTTGAGACCAGCTGTGAGCAAGGTGAGACCCTGGTTTATCACCTAAAACAATAGAAATAAATTAGCTGGACAATTTAAAAGTAATATAGACAAAAAATTAGCCCGG